TGCGATCTAATGACTCGGTGACTAGTGGAATATTCCATGGTATACAACTCAAAGCAATGAATAACTTCCTAGTTCTTACATATACCTACAAGTCTGTGAAATTTATGATTTAATTACCTTGAGCAGGATGTAAGAGCTTTCAACGTCCTCATTGCTCTCTGCGTTCTTCCCATTCTGAATTTTTTCATCAGCAGCATCCATATAAGATGTCAAGCTGGCACATCTATCACGCCAATCTTTCATCACCGCTTCCTCTTTCTGTAATGCGTCTAAGCGCTCTCGAATCCTGCAAGAAAAGATCAGGAAACAAAAGTAAAATCTTTAGTTTGGTTTCGTGACCGTTCTTTTGAGCACTTAAAAAACCGTTCAATACAACGTTTTTCACCCTTCTCGAACGATGATTGTCGAGGATCCCTTACGTAACCTTGAAACATTAAAGAATGTGGAAAAAAGGATAACTGGTGCGGTAGGCGTTTACTAAAGTCTTTAAAATGTTATCAACACTCACAAGAGAGTGCGAAACGGCGAAAGGGGTTAGATTTCCGCTGGCAATCCTTCATCTTCAAGGGCCGTTTGCATAAACTATTGTTTAGCGTTTAAGTGTGTTTAAAGGTACGTGAGACATATTTAAAACACTTCCTTTGCCGGGCCAAGGACCGTTTCAAGGGCCGTTTCAAGGGCCGTTTGCATAAACTACAGTTTAGCGTTTAAGTGTGTTTAAAGGTACTTGAGACATATTTAAAACACTGCCTTTGCTTTGTAAACGAATACATGTACTTCGGACCTAGGAAAGGCTTTTACATTCAGGTTTAATTTGAGACTAAAAGATAATTTACCTGCGTTCTTGTTCATCGTTGGCTCGCTCCAGTCTCTCCATGTCTCCTCCTAGCTCATTTAAGTCTTGCTTGATGTTAGCCTTGTTTACGTAACTAATGTAATCATCCTCCAATAGTTCTTTTCCAAATGCCAGACCGGCATTTATCTCGGGTTTTGATGCCTGTAGTTTGTGACTGCATTCCTGTAATTAAATAGAATGAGATGAAAAAAAAATTCATACAAATGGTTAGGAAAAAATTTAGACCTCTGCCAAACTCAGCTGAAATAAGAACCAAACATTTTCTCTCAACAAAGAAAAACTTAAGGCAAATCCTCAGTACCTTTGACAAAGTGATTTGCTCTTCGGTATCCCCGCGGTCCTTCGGATTCCCCTTAGCTTGTAGTTCAGCCATTTTGTCACCACAATCCTTTATCAAAATGTGGATGCGTGTGGTCCGGTTCTTCCACTCTGTGACTTTTTGCTCTTCACCTTTCTGATAAAGAATATCTTCAAGCCTGAAAGGACATCAGTGAGACTCCATAAGTAATAAATGTGACACGATATTAAGCTCATACGAACTGATAGCGGACCCTGCACAAACAAATAGAGTACATAGAACGTTAATTGATAAAAAAGGACGTCAACGGTGTGAGGAAAATCACTTACCTTTTTACAAAGTGAATCTCTGTGATGAAAACTCATGAATACCGAAAAACAGCCCACTGTATTATATATCATGGAAAGTTTGAACCCGGGAATCAAGATCTGAAACACGGGGCTCTAAACCGCTTGTTGAGCTGCCTCCACCAAAAATACGGTTGAATAATTAAAGTGCCATACATTATCGCACCAGGCCTTTATGTAGAAGACGACTTGCTACACTGTATTTATTATAGTTGAAAATTTCGGCCCCAAATATCTCAAATCCTTTTCGTTGTCGTATAATTAGGTTTTGCAAAGTCGCCTGAAATTGTTATAGATTTTTACCTTTTCTGCTCATCGCCATTAGCTTTTTCTAATTCTTTTAGATCCTCTTCGATGTGATCCAGGTCCTGTTTGACTTTTGCCTTGTTGTCTTCGTCAACGATATCATCATTTAGAAGCAGCGACCCATATGCAGTACCTTCATCGATCACCGGTTTGGCTGATTGCAACTCCTCCTCGAATTCCTACAAAAGTTGAATACACCTTACTGAAAAAGACGCATACAAGTCTCAAAATACATTTTTCTAAATGAACTTGGTCTCTCGATAAATTCTTTAAGCAAACTTTTCTCGTGTTTTCCTTTCATGCCAGGTGAGTCATTACGCTGGTAAACCGATAGAACGTACAGGTTTTCGCTAACAGACAAAAAAACTCACCTTAGCTAGAACAATCTGCTCTTCCAAGTCCTTCTTATCATGAGGATCTCCTTTAGACTTCAAATCTTTCACTTTTTCCTGACATTCGCCCTGTAGTTTGTTTATACGAATAACCCATATCTCCCACTGTTTCAGTTTTTTCTCCTTTTCTTCGTTTTGTTGGAAATATATTTGCTGCAACCTGGTAACAATATTACCAGTTAAAGAAAAGTTAGGTGTTGTGCATTTTAGGTGCATAGTCCGTTATATATTACATTTTTAGACTTTGCATACACAGCATCCTTGAAAAGCAGTCTCAGGAAAGGACAGGCTTTGTCTTATTTCATTAGCTAGATTAGCTGAGTACAATTAGATGCTCTTCTTGTAAATTATGCTAAATGAATTTACTACCTTTTATCAATCAATCGATCGATCAACCAAACAAGTACACATGTACGGACCTGAAGGCCATACAGTTATGTATGCGAACTAGCGGAATCAAAAAGTCAGAGTACAATCCTGACAAGTCTTAGACAAAATACCTTAGTTTCTCTTTAGCGGTATCTTCCTTCAGGTCTTTCAGAGTTCGTTCCATTTCTACCACATCATCATGGATCTTTTGCTTTTCATCAGGATCAGTCAGATCGTCATCCACGAGTTGCTCACCATAATCTAAAGCAAACTTGATCTCCGGTTCTGTATTGGTCAGGCTATCCTCGCAATCCTAATGGTCACAAAGAAAATCAGACCTGATAATCACATGGTGTTCAAAAGTTTTAAGTCAAGGAGAGAGGTCAGCAAATGTAAAAGCAGAGGTTCGAAATCGTCCTTCTGGTTAAATAAATTTTTTGACTCTGCGTGTACTTTGGTATATCGTTTATTATCTTCTTGTCCTTTTGTTTTTCAACTGAACCTCGCAAAACATAAACCAAAGCAATCTCAGTAATCACAACAGCCGAGAAGAGGAAAAGCAAGTGTCACAAGGAGGCATTGAGAGATTAAAAATGCTATCTCCGAAGCGCGGCAAAACGGGCGCGACCAATTCGCGATTGGTTTCGGTTTTGTTCCCGATTGGTGAAGCGGGTGGCGCGAGCTTTCTCGACCAATCACCGAGTGTTGAGAGGTAAAACCAACACAATCCCAGATTACCTGCGAAACTCGCCTGAAAATTGCTTCAAAAGCCTACCTTTGCTTTCGCTAATAATTCCTCCACGTTCCGGTTCGTGGGATCGTCGGCCTTGACCTCGTCAAGGTGGTTTCGTTTCAAAGCAAGAATTGATCTCAATTTCACCTTCCAAGTTTCCCATTTTACTAATTTGTCCTTTTTATCGGTGTCGAACTGGATGGCTAGAATTTCCAACCTACGTAGATATCAAGTAAGACATAGGCAAATATGCAGACATCTAGATTACTTCAATTGTTAGTAAATTAAGTATTTTATGAAAAAAAATGCAACAGCCACTCGGTTTACAAAGACCAATGGAGTTCGATTTTTTTTATTAATTACTCTCTTTTAAAGGACAATGCTCAGTTTTTGTGTGTGTGGGTCATCTTATCTAAGACATTTTACCAGGCAAAGATACAAATCCATTATATTTTCAAAGCTCATCATTTTTTCAAGTAGTTACCGAAATAGAATCGTGTTCGATATAAATGAAGGGAAAATATGGACCACAGATAAAACTAATGATATTCCACACGTTTACAAAAGCCTTAATCTAGATTTTTTTAACCGTTTGTTACCTGCCCTGTTCGTCAGCGTTGTCTTTCTCCATTTTGTCCAGATTATATTCCATATCGTTCACGTCCTTCTTGATTGAAGCCTTAACCTCATCATCAAGTATTTCATCATCTATCAAGAGCTTCCCGTAGTCAATACCTTCGTGAATCACCGGTTTAGCGGCCTCCAGCTCCTCCTTACACTCCTACATTTAAGTACCAAAAAAATATGATATGCAAAACTTTCGCAAAAGTTTGCCTTACAAGGGCTGTCTTTGACGAAAACTTTGTGACCATGTATCGATGACTGACGTTTCGTAAACCTGAACGATGCACCACACGTGTGATCGCATTACACTTCCATTGCAATCCTACCACCGAAATATTAGGGAAACATGATTGGGTTTTGTGCCCAATTGTGGATTGCATTTAACTATATGCAGCCTGGTATGTTACTTGTGTTTGTTCCGACCAGTTTGTTATTTCTCAAATCATTCATATTTGATGCAAACATTTACAACCAACCTTTTACTTCACAAGTCCCGAAGCAGTAAAAGGAACTGTAAAGATTTCAATAAATGTACTGCAGCTATAGATAGAAAGCGAAGTTCAAATTCCCAGTGCACAATCTAATTAACTCAAGCTAAGAAACTAGTTCTGACCTTCACAAGGACCATTTGTTCTTCGACTTCTTTCTTATTTTGTGGCTCATTTGCTTCCTTGAGTTCATTTGTCTTCGCTTGACACTTATCCTGTAACTTCCTCATTCGAATGATCCATGTTTGCCATGTTGTAATCTTCTCCGATTTCTCTTTATCTTGTTGAAGGCCTAAGTCTTCTAATCTGTGGAGAAAACCGCCGGAGTAAAATCACTACAAGTGAGCCAAAGAAATCTTCAAAGCCGCCTTCCTACCCCAGAAAAAACAACCGTGGCAGTTCCCTTGGCTGTTTGAAGAAGCCAGATTAGACGAGTTCATAAGTTCTGAGGAACTAGAAGAGCTCCTTTAATTGCCTTCGTCGGAGTAAGGCCAATGTGTTTTATGACTCCAATCAAGAATTAAAAGCAATTAATTTAGCCTAATCAAACTTACTCCTTCTCGTAGTCATTCAGTTCAAGCTTCAGGCTCTTAAATCCTTCCCCAATTTCATTTCTTTCTTTCTTTATTGACTCTCTATCTCTAGTGTCAACACTTTTGTCACTGATCAGATCTTCGGCGCACTTAAACGCCTGCTGGATCTCTGGCACTGAATCAGCGATCTCGGACGAGCATTCCTGAGGGAAAAGAAATATGGATTCTAATTACTTTCTAAAGAAAAATGCTTCAAAAATCACATCGTGCATTGCAAGAGAATCCATTGACACAAAGCAAGAAACAGTGACATTCATGTCACTCATCTCACCCGGGTAAGTTCTAGTTGTTCTTGCACTTTCTTCGGGTCCTTGGGAATTCCTTGACCTTTGACTTTGTTGAACTTGCCCCTGGTCTTCTTATATTTGGAGTTTAACTTGTCTTTACCATCTTGCCACTTTTTCAATTTATCTTGAGCTCGAGCATCCTCAGCTACCTTTTCTGACAACAAGTTATTCAGCCTATAAAAAGGCAACGATTAAGGAACAAGGGACGAACACGCGAGCGAACGAACAAAGAACGAACATAAGAGCGAGAGAACGAACAAAAGAATGATTAAAACTACGAGCGATTGACGAGTGAATGAAAGAACGAATGAACGAGAAAACGAACGAAGACTTAACAAAAGCAGCGAATGTTCAAGCAAAAGCAAGCATGGACGAACGAACAAGCTACGAGGCAAATAAATTAAGGAACAAACGAACCGATGAAGAAACATACGCACGAAATAGCGAATAATGAACGAAAGAAATTGCGGTGGGCGACCAAAAGCGAAAAACTGAGGTAAGAAATGATATGCTGACCTGTCTTGTTCGGCATTTATGTCTTGCTGAAGAGCTTTGAAATCCTCTCCAATGTTGTTCATTTCCTTCTCGATCTTGTCTCTATCCTCATCACTAAGTTGATTATCAGCCAAGAGATCGTTGCCGTAATCATAACCAGATTGAATTTCAGGAAACACAGACATAACGTCGTTTGTACATTTCTAAGGAGAATATAAGTACAAATTGCTGATAGATATCTTGTATTTACCCAAAACTCGCAATCTGGCTTCAAAGATGCGAGCTTTGGACCGACGACTTCAATAAAAAAGAACCATAAAAAGGCTGACCTATTCCATCCATCGATCGAGTGATAGTGGCAAAAGATAGCGAGCGTAAGCTAGTTCGCAAGGAGACGAGCAAGGAAAGAACGACCTCAACAGTGATCCTTAACGAATAAGGTGTACCAAGACCAGCGAAATGCAGAAAGAAAAAAAGGAAAAAATAACTAAATAAAAGAATCCAACGCACAAAATAGACAAAAAAATTAAAACAAAGTAGGAAAATGAGAATGCTACAACGTTTCTTTCTTTCAATTATTGTGCCATGAAGATTTTTACCTGTATCGCCTCGAGCTGTTCCTGTATTTCAGTGGTGGTGTGGGGATTCTTTTCCTTGATGTTTCGTAATTTTGTACGGGTATCAACATTAATCACTGATATTCTTTCAGTAACCTCCTGCCATTTTTCAAGCTTCTCCCTCTTTTCAGATTCTCTCTGAGAAATTGCGTCCTCCAGTCTGCGATAAAAATTCGAAAGCTTGTTGAGAAAAAGTAGATTATATATATATATATATATATATATATATAATTATATATATATATATATATATATATTTATATATAATTAAATAAATCAGTTAAAAACCTCCAGTATTTATCCCTTAACTATGTGGAAAAGATCCCAAAGACTTGGTTAAAAGAGGAGTTACACTCTAGAAATTATTGAATTTTATCCCAGCCATAAAAAAGTATTCGCACAAGTTTGACAACGAGCCCGTTTTCAGCTTTAAAATCCTTCCCAATTTGTCGAAATTCTTCCGACGGTGACACTAATTCTTGACATTCAATCGTGACAATGATGTAGCATCAACAGTTTCCTGTGAGAAGGATAGAAATGCACAGATTTGTTATTATGTGAAACACAGTACCTTTTTACGTCAGCGCTGCTGCTCTTTTTAAGTTTCTCGTATCTTTCTTCGATATCGTTTATGTCTTGGACCAATTTTTCTTCCAAGTCACCCCCAATGTTCTCACTTTTTACGAGTTTAATTCCATCGTCTGTAACTCTTGCTACTTCAGGATCAAGATCGGAGATTTCCTTCGATAAATTCTGCGAGAAAGCCAGAGAGCAACGAAGTATCGAATTATCGTTAACTGTGGCTGATACACGGTCTAATCTCATTGAAAAAATATATATTTATATCTACCTTTGCTGCAGCCAAGATTTCTTCACCGGGTGCGAGTTCTTCTCTTAGCTGATCCTGAATTTGAAGGCGTAACTTATCCTCGCAGCGGGATAGCTTCTCATTTAATTCATCGCGTTTTCTTTCCCAGTCGCGGATCTTGTTTCGTTTCTCCAATTCATTACGCAGCTCACTGAGACTAGAAAAGAAATAGTAATTATGGTGCCCATTGGAAACTACCTCCTTTTTTGCCTCACTTTTTCAGTTTCTTAAAAAATCATCGAGGCAAAAAAAATGCAACGAAAAATAATTAGAGAACTAAGATAACGTTATTCAAAACTTGCTTTATATTCATTTAATCTATTCTCGTCGATACACAATAAACTGGAATGGTTAGGGTTAAGGCTGCGACAGATGCTGTTCAAAATTCTAGCAGGAAGACGTTCATTTAGACGACATTCACCAGATTTTGGGCCAAGTTGAGGACAAACTACTTAGAAATAAATCCAAGTATGCCATGTGAGGCATCCGAACCTAGGAGGTCCTTCTAACATGGGGGTGTTTCAAATCTGAGTTCTACGTTGAATAAAAAGCAAAAGTGTAAAAACACAAACCCCTCTTGTTCGTCGTCAATAAAGTTTCTCAGTTCATCGTAGTGCTCTTGTAGTTGAGCCATGTTACGTGTGATCTCCTCCTTCTCGTTATCATCAAACAGATCGTCTCGTGAGAGCTCTCTTCCGTACAAAATGACATCTTGCAAGAGTGGCTCCCCTTCCTTTAGTTCAGAATCACAATCCTATGACGGAAATACGCAAAAGTTTGATTAAGAGCGAATTCCTTTATATTCACTCACTTGTTTTTTCTTTTTTTAAATCATGGGAATAAACTAGGAATAAAACATGCAAGTAACAAGAAACTCACAATGAACTGAGCATTCACTCATGCATTACAAAACCATTGCTGAACGTTTCCAAATAGAAAATGCTGTTATGTCTAGCAATTACTTTAAGCCCCTACAAGTTGAAAAGTCAATTTTGTACGTTTTGCAGACGTATAATTTTATCAAGTCCATCTGAAGCACTTGGCCTTATTTCACTTCTTTGTTCTTTGATCTGTCCTAGTCTGTATTTCACGTCTCTTAAAGACTCTCTGTAGCTGAATATGCACAAATGAGGTTAATTGGTCTTGCAGTAATTCCCCATTCGAAATGTTTTATCTTGCGTGGAAATGACGTAATTCACGCCAAAAAACCAATTTAACTTTTGACAAAGTAATCCAAGAAAGATAACATGACACATTTTGATAAAGGACTTCGCATGAAGTTATATTGATTAAACACTGGTCATGAGGGGGTCCTTAATCTTTCGATACCAGTACCTTCACCATGTTTTGCTGTTCCTTGACCCCCGGCAAATCATTCGGGGCACCAGAAGATTTCAAGTTCTCCAACTTTCCTGAGCATCTCTCCAACACCAACTGAACTGCGTTCATTTTATCCCGTAATGTGTCGAGTTTAGCGTCCCTCTCGGCCTCTCTGCCGTGGCTGACGAAGAAACAGTTAACGTTATATTTTTCCTAATTATTGGAGACAAGATGGCAACGACTAGGCTAACGTGCTCGGTATCGAAGAGTCTGGGTTCGAGACCTGAGCGCGTCATTGTTTTGCACTTTGGTGCCACTACCACAATGCCTCTCTCCAGCCAAGAGTATAAATGGGTATCGGTGAACTGTCTGGAAAGAATGATGAAATGCCGATGTGAAAACCAGCGATCAACTAGCAAACCACCCGCACTTTACCTAAAATCATAATTAATTCAGTAAGAAGTATAATACGAATGATCAAACCTGTCAATCTGATCTGCGCCATCAACGTGATCATCTTCGAAATCAATGAGATAGTGAACATTGGGTTGCGATTCAACAGTATGTTGAATGTTTGGCTGCAACATAAGAGTCACTGTGTATTAAGATGGGGCTATAAAATCCGATCTTCTAAATAAATTTTGAGAAATGTGTCAACCGTACAACTATCATAGAGCTAGTTCTTGGTAAACCCATAAAATCCTGGTTTTTGCCGTTAAGTAATTTATATAAGTCAACTTCGAAATTTGATATTTCCAATAGAATAATAGAAGAATTCAGTGATTGAAAAGTTTGAAGGCTATCTAATCTTTACTGTTTTTCATTTATCACCATCGCCTAGCTCAACCATCTCACAAAGAATCTTTGGAAATAAGTAAAAACTGCACGCACGGGGCATTACGGTCATATGATAAAAGCTTAGCAGAAAATGACTCATCAATAATCTGAACTATCTTTAAATCACACGTGGTAATGAAGATCGCGTGTATCTAAGAACTGCAGTTGAAGAGTTTATTAATGCTTACTTGTATCTCAAATGTACTAAACTCTGAAGGTGTTGACTGAACACTGTCTTGAGAAACTTGTACAAGCAGTTCCGTTTCTCTGTTTTCCTCTGCTGAAGAAGACGGGGACAACTTGTCCTTCAATCTGCAAACAGAGATGCAAATCACAGTTTTAAGCAAAAACTTGGCGACAACTCCATGATTTTGGATACGTTTCTTTTCATGCATGAATATGTTTTATTATCATTATTGTTATCAATTTTTTTCATTCAATCCGGAAAAGAGTCTTTTCACATGCTTTATAAATAGTTTTGTCAGGCATACTTGTGAAAAATATGGAATCACGCATGCGCTTTAGACTCGTGATAGAAGAAGAACGGCCTGAATGAAAACTTGTCAATTTGTTTTTAATGTTCTATGGCATTGTATCAAAATAAGTCAAAGCGGAAGTAACAAACGAACTGCAAAACGCATTGTTTGCTGTAAATGTTCAAAGCTGAATTCTAGCCTAATCTTTCATTATGTTCAGTATCAAATTTTTGCAAGCTCGTAATTCTCTCATTTGTCGGTTTGAAAATCAAAGGGGATAGTCTGCTCCATTTGTCAACAATGTGCTTTCTTTTCCTATCATGTCTGTCGCTCTTGTTAACATCTCTATCTGAGTCCAACAGTGACCATTTCGAGTCACATCTTACTCTTTGCTCTTTTGATGAGCCTCTGTTGTCATTGTGTCCCAGTTGATGTTTAAATCTTTCTGCTTTCCTCGTAATATCTCACGATCTTCTTCGTCGACGTAAGGCTCCAGACAGAGTTCGTTAACTTCACTGATAACGCGATCGACTTCCTTCTTTTTATAATCGATCCGTACCATAGATCCCTACACAAACAAGCAGATAAAAAAGGCCAACATTATTATCACTACACAACGAACGATAACTAACAAACCTTGAATATGAACCCATTGTAAGGTATAGCTTCGTTGCAGAGCAACAGTGATGCAGTCCGTTGGTGATGTCGGCCCTTTTCTTCGGTACCCTAGTTTTGTCCTTTTCTCTTGTTTTTTTAATCTTTTATGATACCACGACAAAGCATAACATTTATCATCTTTCCTGCTCGATTTCTACGCAGGAAAGACGACATCATAAATCTAATTCTGCAGGGGACGCTAGCCATGAGAGGCCAACATTTTAACTTAAGCATTGGCCTCATTTGAGCAATGAGGCTATCTACAACTCGTTTACGATCGGTTAAGGAATTCAATAACTGTTCAACAGCTGAAATTCAAATACAGGAATTCAATATCCAGATTTGCAATTCAATAACCTCGTGTTCATCGATCTCTCTTCTGATCTCTGTTTGGCTTTGAGATCTTCCTCTTTTTGATATCTCACTTCTCATTTGTTGTATCCACGAGTTGTAGATGTCAATCTGTTGCTCCCGGGGTGAAACGAGAGCCCCCCGACATCTAAAAGAGTAAAGGAGCATAATTAAGATCGTAATTAAATTCAATTGGCAAGGTAACAAGAAACACACCACCAGGCTCCCTGTTCTATCTTTGCATTTCACATTGGTTAGAAAAGTGGCTCTCTTGTGTTCCCCTTTGAGTTGGAAGTGGACTTGCGCGTCGAGACAAAAAGAGGCTGAAATGTTCACAATTTCTGTAAGCACTATTCGTAAACGAAAGGAAGTTCTTGTGGCACTTTACAATTTTAGTAGCTATACATCATATAAATATCAATATTTTCACAAACGTCTTTTTGGTTTTCCGAAAAAAATCTCGTTCTGTGTGTGTAAACCAATGACTTAAACAAACTAAAACCAGCTTTCCCTAATTTAAAATTGCTTTCTATTACCGTTTATGAAGTCTCTGTGAGAGTTTTTCCAATTTTTCCCATCGATCGTGGAGCAGCAGTAGCTGGTTCTTGATCTCTGTTCGGTGGATCTCGTCTGTCTTGTCATTCATTATCAAAGCCTGGCCCATATCCTCTACATTTCCCACGTCCTGGCGATGATTTTTGATGTCATCCATCAAAGACTGGAAAGGACAGGGAAAAAGGAAAACATGAGGTGAGTGAATTTCTTGTCTTAGTTCCAGCTATTGTTATTGAAGAAAATAGAAGCTCGGGTGATTTCTTACTTCGTATCCTCCCATCAGATGGAAGCCTTCATACAAATAAGTTGTGCTTAGGCCTATCCTAGGACTAATCAAGGGAATTTAAAACTTCGCGAAAGGAAAAAAAAAACACGTTTGTGTGCATACATCAACAGTGCAAAGACCAAGCGATTCATTTCAGGTTTGCATATTGATGCAAGAGCCTTCAGCCTGCAGGATTTTGTTTTTCTTGGTTGTCCATGGTTACCTTTGATTTGTTGTAGTCTTCTAAAGGATTGCCAAAACGGCCAGTCGATTCCAGCTTGTTGGATACCAGGGTTTCTTCTTGTGTGATATAAGCATTCAGGTCTCTCAATGATGCTCGGTAAGCTTCAAGGCCCGCCAAATCCTAAAAAAAGGAGAAGACACGTTTGCTACAAAAAAAGCTGAGCCATTTTGAACTGAGTGACGAAACTAAAGAAATCCGTAATTGCACCAGTCGGCTTTAATTTCAAGCGCTTTCCGTTTGAGTTTCGTGAAATCACAACCAAAGCCAACGAGAACTCAAAGAAAAAACAAGCCAACCGCCTAGATCGCGGGAAAACGCTCGTGATCAAAACCAGTCACCCTTTTTGTCGCTTGCACTTTCTCTCGTTCGAGGCAAGTTGGAAGATTTTATTTCGGTCATCCCTGCTCCCTCTGATTTATACTTTTGTTCTGATTGGTCAGTACCTTTTTCTTTTTGACTTCTAATTTGTTCACTCTTTTTTTTCGCTTAACTAAGCTCAATGGAAATGCGTTTCAAGTCTTTTTTACAATACAATACATTACCGTATCAGAAAAAAGGCTTTTCGTATCTAATTTACAACAAGATTTATATTTCTGCTTCGTATAAAAAAGCCTTTCGATCGAATGGCGAGCCTTCGTGAGCATTGTCACCAAAAACTGTTGCTCACAACAGCAATTGCTCCTTGTTTCTGTGACGTCATTTTAATTATGCCTGTAACTTGTATTTGAAATATGATAAAAAATAATTAAAAAAAAAAAAAAAGGATGACAGGCCTTTCATAATTTCTAGGAAAGTCACGGCGAGCTAATGATAGTCAACTACGACAATAAAATAGCAACACTTACGTCAAGTTTTCTTCTCTTCTTTCCTCCCTGTGGTGAGTATTCTCTCAAGCCGTGAAATAAGCTGGTCAAGTACATCATGATCAACTTTTTATCTGGCTTGTCCACGTCAATATCTGCACGGAAATAAAAATAGAATTTAACGAATAACTAACAATTCGAAAAACCGGCAAATCACATACTGGCTATAAATTCGAAACCATACGAAAGAGTGAAGTTACTTAGCATATTTGGGTTCTTCGCATCCCCTGTTCCACAGTAGAACCAAACAAATTGTTGGTGTCTCTGTGTAATTGACCGTAATGTCGTGGACCACTTGAATGGCATGTTTTATAACAATGCAAAAAAAGGAGATCTGAGGAAAGCTACGGCAACATACAGGTAGAGCTTTGAATGGATTCCAGGCTACTAAACTGAGTATTACTTTCAAAATATGGCGACAAAATCGAAAAAAACGTGTTTCCACCATTACACAATGACGCCCTCAGATCTCAGTTTACATTGCTTCTCAAAATCACGAGGAGATAACAACTGTGCTCCGAAAAATAATTTTAAAAAAATGAAGGGCTGGTTCACAGGGGAAGCTTGACAAATCCAAACTAGTCTACGTTTTATTATACGAGAATGACAGTTAGTTTTCGACATTTCCATTTGTTGGTTTTAGTTAATCAAAATATCGGAACTTCCATCTTAAAACGAGTTATTTTCGATGGACTCGACTTATGATATGAACGAAATATTTCAAGAAAATTGCAAAAAATTCTTTCCATTTTTCTGTTTTCGCAGTGGGTTAAAAATGAAGCTTTCAATAAGTAAACTGAACTGACAACATATTCACTACGCTGTAGAAATCCCCTAAATTAACTTAGCATTGAAAACCTGAAACTATAGAAAATAAAACTGTGTTTCAAAAAAATTCGCAAGTGCCAAAATTTTATTAATTAACTTTCTTCGTTATTTTCCGCACACTGAAATAGGTGTTTCAATTAAAAGTTTGTTAGATATGACATTTTTTGAGGAAATGTCACAATGTGAATTTAAAAAAAGTTGTTCTCTGCCTCTTAAGTGATGACAGTGTTTGCTTGTAAATTAAAAAGGTGCTGGAGAAAAATCTTTATATTTTTCTAATTAGCAATTTTTTTTAATAAGAAATAAGAAAAATTTAATAAAATAGTCTTTCTTCAATGTTAATATACATGGTCAGTTTTGCTAATATATATTTTTTCTTCTTCAAGAGTGGTGCAATGGATTTGTTTAGTATTAGACAAAAACTTCGCTTAATTTTTTTTCCTGATGCACCCGCGCTGATGATTAAGGCTTAAACAGGAAACCAGCATTTCAAATAATTTCGGAAAGATAGCCGCACCTTAACACAAATTCATTTAGTATTCAGTGGAAAAAAAATCAAATCAGTCCAACTGAAGAGATCTTTAGAATGCGAAAAAAGCTTGAAAAAGCTCAGAAGTTCTGCCTCTGACGGAGAAAAAGTAGGTTTCTTTGTTTTTTTTTTAACTCATTAGATATTTTTACTACATCAAGTGAGAAAAGCTCTCTAATTGTACACTTAAAATGTCTTGCTGAAAATTGAGACGCACATCACACGCTGACATATAAAGTGAAGGGAAGAGCTGTCGTACACAAGTGTAGTTGTTCTTCAATTCCAAATCGAAATGCTATGATATGGTTATTGCCGGCATACTTTGACGAAAATGTACATCTTATTTAAATGAAGAGTGTAAGAGTTTCAAAATTGAAAAACGGCTGACAACCAAAGGAGGCTTAAAATGTGCTTCATGCGAACAAGAACGGGGCCAAGTGAGGAAAGTAAAATTTACAACTTAGTCTTTGATTAAAAATCTGTGAAATTGAAATTGGGCCAAAACAGAAAAACAGGGAGACTTTTAAACTAACATCAACTCACCTGCTGGGTCCAACAGCTTCGGAACTGAAAACTCTTCGTTCGCCACGTTAAAGGCGTGATCAAGATTTGTCTTGTTATCATTTTTTAAAAGGCTCTCAAATCGAAACAGCTCTGGCCTGGAAAAAAAAAGAAAATCAAGTAAAAATTAAGGAGAAAGGAGTATGAGAAACAGAGAGCTATACAAACATTCTTAGAGTTGTCACAAGGGATTGGACTGCTTTAATTACTGAGGGAATTTCTGGCTAGAAGGAATACATGTTATGGCGCAGAACCAAGGAAATCGTTTATATTAGACTTTCCGCTTTCTAATTTCAATTTTTTCTGACTGTTTGGTGATAATATAGGAAGGAAGCAAAATGCAAAGAAAGGCAACTCCGTGTGGAGGGGTAATAGTGGTCTTTGATAGTAAATTATTGGGGTGGGGTTAGGAGCCGAATGCTATATCCAGGCTTCGCTTGCCATTGAAATCAAGATGGCGGTCTCGATTAAACTGTATCCTCGACTCTTACTTCCCTTCACACGGTGATTAACCTCTCAGCCTTTTCAGAAACTTTTATACATATCAAAACCTCATTTCTTCAATTACATTACCGTAAATACATAATTATCCTTCCCCTCGATCAAAAAATCAGGAGACGACACCAGAAGTACTTCTCTAATCTGTGCCGCAATTGCTAATTCAACAAACCTCTCACGGCTTACGGAGAGTTATTAAATAACTGAAAATAGTAACCACAGAGAAATGACACGGATTACTTACTTGTGAGTATGGATGATGGCGTTGAAAGCTAGACCATCTCTCCAACTTGTTGTGAAGTCTTTCAATTTAACGGAATCCTCGTACCTAACGGGAATTTTTAGAAATCAAAATTCATCAGAAGTAAAGATGATACGAGATGATACTCTACCTCAGAAAAGGAAAGTAGAATAAAAGGAATACCCAGATATTTTAACTATCGAAATAAGAAAATTCAGGAGCAAATGTAGTTTATAACTGACGAAATTTAACGGGTGAGCCTGTTGGAAGTTAGTCTCGGTTGGTGATAATACAAACGGCTACATTCTCCTCCCGTTGGTCACTTTGTGACATTTTATTTGCTCTGATTACATCCGTTTGTTCTTGACCTTGGCTTTTGACCTTTCACCTTGGGTTATCAAATGCACATCATTTTGGGCCTCACCCTTCAAGCGATGTCTTACACCAAGAAAGCAGTTTTTTCTCGACTTGAAAATCTTTGACGCTGGAATCTCCAGAGTCATCTCCAGTCATTACGCCTTGCACCTAAGGGGACGTTGAGATATAGTAAAGAAAACAAAATCCACATCAACGTTTGGGTGTTTAGAAATCTTCAAGTAGGTCTCTATTTGTGACACCGAGTTACAGTTGGCCTGAACTTAATTTTTTCAGTTTTTTTGTAAAGTTTTTGCAAAGTCACTGGTAACACTTCGGTTATAAGTCAAAAGGGGAAAGTGAGAAACCGTAGCTTACAGCATAGATTGAAAAGACGAATTCAGTACGATAATAACTAAAATCTACTATAACAGATGGGTTTGGAAACTTTTTAGGGTCTAGAAATTTATAGATAGTGAAAGACTCAAACTTTCACTCGTCTGCAATTAACCCTTCAGCTCCCAAGATCGGATTGTTAATTCTACCCTCCTACACATTTCCTTCTAAATTAGTTACAAGAATTTATTGTTAGATCAACATAACACCTTCTACCTGATAATTTTGAGTATTCTCATTACCTGTTTGCTGAATAACATAGATATTACAAGGATAAATTACATGTTAATCACTTTTAGGAGTTAAAGGATTATGGGTTACATACCTGGAATCGTAGAATAATACTCCATATCAGTCCAAGAATGGTCGTGCTCTTTCCATCGACAATGTCGTAATTGCTGATCCCAACAAGTTTGACCTAAAAATAAATTTCAGCAGAAGGTGAAAATAGCGCCGTCTTCCCAGTTAAAACAAGTTTTGATTGTGTGTTAATAAAAGACAAAATCAATTTCATGTCGAAAGGTTTGCATTTAAATATACCCTGGATCGCTTAACAGAGCAGAAGTTTTGGGTATCTATCAAACGACCTCTTAAAAAGCTAAAAGTGCAGAATCACCACCAACAACAACAGTATATAAAAGAATAAAAAAACCCTCGAAGAATGAAGAAAAAGATATTTAGAGGTAGACAATGGCCACATTCGTTGCAGAAAGTCTACCAAGGAACCATTTGTAGCAAATTGGAACAATCATTAAAAACTAAACACTTGGGAGCAAAGAGGCCTTTTTTAAAAAAAATGGAGTCAGCTCGCGTGTTATGTACATGTATTTTCTGTGGTTGATTTTTATTAATGTTTTCACCTTCGATAAAAAAAACATGACAACTGAACTAAAACAAGGTAGCACAACACATTATTGCCGCGTTATATCTTTAAAAAAGGACATAAATAGCAGAGAGAGTTATTTCTTCAAACTGTCTATGTCTATGTTACTGTCACTGTCTTTCTCCGTGTTTCACAAGTTTGACACAAATTGATGCGACGATCAATTCGAAGCTTCAGCATCCCTCACCGGGAAAACCCCGAGAATGGACGACGTTCAAATGCCTGTGGGTTGCCTGACATTTAAATGCTCGTGGGTTGACTTGAGGGGCTTCAAGCATCAAATTGATCGACACATTAGTTACAAAAATGCAAATTTACCTTGTTTTTTTCCAACACCTTCAGTGCTGTTGTCACATTGGTGAGTTTATGGACGCGCATTCGGCCTTTCTCTCTTTTCTGTCGAAAAAACGTGCGAATTTTTTAACGTTATCACTAACTTTTTTTTTAGTGGTAGAGAAGCAGGTATGGCAATTATTGTAAGTCTTAAGAAGAGTTTGTAAATTATAAGTCAAAGACAAGTAATTCGCAAACTCTCCGCTGTCCTTACAACCGACATTTTGTTCCGTGGCCTGTGGCATTACATAGAAATAAAGAAGTTCTGAACCCTCCTTCGCGGTTGTTATAAGACGCATTCTTAGCCTACATACGTGACGACACCAAATAGGGGCTGCGAAACCAGACGACTCAGAATTTTATCGAATCCCAGCTGCTATAATAATACTTAATTGTAAATCTAGTACTCATTGATATGCGAGGATTCACTGGTTGGGAATTGTGGTATATTTTGCCATAATCACCTCTCGATAGAAGGTGAAAGAAAGTTACTATACTGTAGCTCATTAAGATCAGCTACTTGAGATCATCTGCCTTACAGTCCCGTTTGTTAGCATGGTCCTCGGCCAGCAGTGCAATGTTTTAAACTATTAGCAATCCTATATGAAGACAAGCATCAAGTAAGCAACAGAACGTCAACAAAAAAGGTCTCAAAAAATCAAACGGGACAACGGTTTCTGTTGCCAACTGTTAGATACATTCATGACGTCACCAAACGTTACTACAACCAGACTTACCAGTGTTGTTCCCAAGAGGACCTCCAGCAGAGAAAGGAACACATGTCCATCTCGGACTTCCTCGATAAGATCCTTCACCTCTAAAGGTGGCACGGCCTACGAGACATTTGAGAAAAAACGTAATATTTCGTCAGCAAGACTGTTTAATCAATAACACGTATAACTAAGGAGGTAATGGAATATGATAATATACATGTGATGTATAATGTACTGCGCATGTATGTATCCACTGATGCCAAATGAAGAAAAAAGTGCGATTTTTCCAAAGGAAAGCATCAAGGTTGCTAGGCAATAATTAAAATGGCGGCGACCTTCCCAAAATGCGTTCCTAATTAAACCACACCTTTTTCGATGGCAGAGATAAAAACTCACTGCCTTTTTCTTTTCTTTTTTTGTCCCCTAATACGTTTTATTGTAGATAAATAAAGTCAACCAACGACGTCCAATACGCCCTTAGCTTACCATTGCAAGCTTTGAATTGATCCATTTTTGGAAGGTCTTCTTATGAATTTCCTCTCTCTCTCCTAGATATTAAGAAAAACAAATATCAAGCCAAAGCCACGTGAGCCAACCATTGAGCATTTGAACAGCTCCCTCCACCTTTCTAGCGTTGACGCACATCGTTACAAAACGTCACAAACTGCTCCTTAAGTTTCCGTTTTCTCCCTTGTATGTTCCCTACATTGGCTTTCATATTTAATGAGAATTTTCTGGTAGATCAACACAATAGCGTCGAGAAAAGTTAGCCGTTTGCTTAATCACGGACTATAAAAAATTCAAGTTGCTTTGACACTACTTCCTCCCAAACATAGATATCTTCGATCTTCTAGAATAATCTTAAAATCCACGACTAGAATAAGCTACGTTTATTTAAAACTGTAAAAAAAAACTACCACTAAAAGGTAACTTGGTACAGAAAGTCTGCAAAATTAAGGTCTGACAGCAAACAAAATTCGGGATACAAAACTTTTTCGTCAGAAAGGATCATGACCGAAAATTACCTCTTCCTACGCAAACCAAATCATCGCCGGCGGATCCGAACATCTTCAATTGATTTTGTTCTTTAGTTTAATCACGTCGTTATGTAGATCATCCGAAAAGAACAATATTGTTTTTCATTCCATGTTGGTCTTAACATCCGTCTTCCGCGACAGGATTTGCAAACAAATAACTTGAGCTGAATTATTTTATTCAATACAGAAAGAACAACACATCCAAGAAAACCAGGTGGTTCTCATCTGTTGCATCAGAAAATGACGATTTCCTGACAACCGCCTCTTACCATTAACGTTTTAACTCAACTGGCTGACAATTATTGCAAAGTCAATATTGTTTTAAATCAACTTCACATTACATAAACATGTCTTGAACAAAATACGAAATAACTGTTTTAGGTTTAATAAGCCTAGAAACCCACCGGAGTAGGAAGAATTTGTTTTCCGACAGATATATCGTGATAGTAATTGAATAATCACCTAGGTATCTGCGATTTTCATATATCAATTTCTAGAGGATCTAACAAGAAATCGCTCACAAAACTAAACATACGCACTTAAAAGCATGCACATTCTGTGGGGTGTAGACTTGAGGCCGAAAAACTGTAATATGACCTACCTTGCTGCATTTTTTTCAGCGCTGTCAGGTTATATCCTGGTTTCAAATTTTAAGTTTTATGCAGTAAAAATAGAACACTACTTAAATATCTTTGCATGTGCCTTCCGCTTCTGGGGTAAGCGACTAATGCATCAGTAAGTTGATATAAAAAGCGACGTGTGATATGTATGATGTAAATTAAGAGATGGAAAACAAAGTTCACGGAATATAGCCTAAATGTACTTCTAGCGTCGCCTTAGTCTTTTTTCATATTCATTCAAAAATTGAAATGTTTGTGGCGCACAATTCCTACAAGTCATCTGTCTTTAAGAACAGAAATTATTTGCTGAATACAATTTGAGAAAATTCATTTAGATTTCGATCGCACAAATATCGTGTGGTGGGTGATAAGGAGAGTTGTGTTAAACGATAGGGGGTTAAAATAACTATTTTTGATCCACGTCTGAAACTCAAGGCAAACTTTCTTATAAACCAAACTAATAATTCCTATTACTTTCTCAAGTCTATGCTGCAGAACTCTGGGTTATACTATCACCACATCGACGTTTGATAACGCAATTTCTCGCGGCGTAAAACGTAAATTATGATAAAATATGCAGCGGAAAAGTTTCCCTCTTTCGATGTCTGTCTGTCAAACCAATAGAGAACAAAAATATGCCGCAAGCAAGTTCCAGATTGTTAACGCTTAGCATACAGTAAGAATAACATTTTGCCCAAAATACAGAATCAGCCGCACGCAATACGGAGTCGAAAACTTCTAAGCAGTAATTAAATGAAAAGGAAAACCTTTTTTAGATGAGGCTGATTACATTCAAATTTTTGCAAGTAAAATGATAAAGCGATATATCAGTTTTGACGTGAGAGAGGTAACTTAAGTAAATGCATCTTAATCATTCAAGTCAGTCTTTGTTGATCTGCAATTTTGAATAGTGTAGCAACTATACTACAACTTTGTCGTGATATATTTGTCGACATCTTTACTTTCTACTCTGGTCCCTGGTATCGATGAGAGAGCAGAGCTCTATTTCAGAGGTGTGTTCAAAATCGGCAGCGGCTCAGGTATACTTAAATGAGAGCACTGACGGTAGACTTCAGGGGAACTAGCTGAAGGATGCTGTTTTACAGAATATATTCACAAAAAATTGAGGAAAGGAAAAAATAAGTTTAAATAGTAAATCTAACAGCACCTGGAACTTTTTTTTTCAAAGGAAGGATATTCAATTGTTTGCTCCATGTCCATCGATCCTTCACTCAACGAGCTGTGTCTTTTTTCCCACTGAAGTTAATTTTTCATAGTTCCTTATTAGATATTCAGTCTGCAATTCGTCTACAGCTGTGTCTGTTGTTGTAGTTTTCCTCAGACTTTATTGTGGGTTAGTTTTTAACGACAAAATATTCACTCTTGGCCTTTTGCGAAAGCTGGTTATATTTCCTGGTCGGAAACGACGACACAGGCACACCACAAAAAAGAAAAATAGGTTTTCCTAGCATGAGTCAAACCTGCGGTTGTTTCGCGTTCCTATTGGCACTTCAATTTTTAGCCACAGGAAGCTCCTAATAACCAGAGTTGGTCATAGCACTTTAGTAAGTCTATATGATTAGGAATATCATTCTATTTTTATTTTGACAAAAAAAAATTAAAAGAAAAGAAAGAAAAAGAAAACGAAAGAAAGCAGTTTACTACATTTTCAACCGTGAAGTATCTGCCTGACGTGCGAGCATTGTGGCTAGCGGAAATATTAATGCTTAGCCAAAGTACGTCATGTATGGGGAATTATTATCTACTCAATAAATATTATGTCCTATACTTTACATACATATAGTAATGTCCATAATAATTCCTCATGCATGACGTACTTACGATGCTTAGACTCCTTACTGACCGGCGATTATCGACTGTTGCAGGCTCAAATATTCGCTGCACAATCAGTTACTTGAAAACTTTTGCGATCAATTATTGATATAAACAAACGAAAATTAAAAACAGCATGATTAATAGCAATTTAAGTTTCATTAAGGACTGTAATTTTAATTGTCTAACGGGTATGGGAGGAGACAATCAAAGAGTCGAGATTCTTATGGCTGCTGGTCAATAATTCATATTTAACGTTTAGTAAGAGTGTTCGATAAAAGAAGTCAAATTTCGCATATTTGAGACACAGAGAGCAAAGTTTCTTGGAAAAATATTTGGCCCAGAGAAGAATATTTTGTATTTGTGTGTACTACCGAGTATTTCTTTGAAAAATAGGGACTGAAGGTCTTGCAGAGCTTAAATTACAGGAGAAAACTCGTCAAGTCGTTTTTATAATCGACGCATTTTAATAAGTAAATGGAGGCCCCCAAAATGGAAAAAAGCTAGAAGAATCGACACTCTTTTATTTCTTTTGTTTTGTTTTGCTTTGTTTTTCCGCAGAAAAGCGTTTCGATGAATAACCTCGTCTTCCGAACTGAACACGGACACAAAATGTGTTTTTTTTTTGAGTGGGGCAAAATCGCAACTTTTTTAAATCAAGAGGCGATACTCGTCTGAAACCACAGAAGTCAATATCATCCTGTTCAAAACTTAAAAAGTAGTTCTCGTGTTGAGTGTATTTTCTACACTAGTTAAACCTTGCCCGAGGGTTTAAAGGCATCAAAGTAATTTTCATCAAGTGCCATGTTTTAAAATACAGTTTTGTTGTTCTGCATGTTTACCAGGTAAAACATTTAACAGAGCATACTGTCTCCAAATCTGTTTTTATAACTTAATCACTTGTTTATTTACACAAATGTGGTACAATCGGTACATCTTTCTGGAAAATTGAATACGTCACCGCTGTCATCCGAAATATTTGTTTTTATTTTTTTCTCAGAGGGTACGATAACAAATCCTGAAATCTGATTGGTTCTTAGTACGGTCCGTCTATTCCTATCTCTGCCCGCGGGCAGGGTAACATTTCAGTGAGTCGCCGAGTACATCCCACCTTCGTCACCAATTTTCATAAATTTATCTCGTTTTTCCGGCTGGGCAGTATTTTTAGACAAAGACGTCGTTCACTACCTCGAGCCGATAAATAACTTATTAAACATCTCTTTCACCTCCTTCATATCACTTTGGTTGACAGAAAATAACATATATTTAAGTACATCAACACAGACTTGGATTACTTGACGATGATACACAATTCTAACTTTTGCTACCAATTTTGTTATTCATATTTTTGCAAAAATAAAAGCTTTTGAGGTTGAGAAATAAAAACATTTTCGTGAAGATTGTCAGTTGGAAAACACCGTAAGGTGGCCGAATCATCTCGAAAACAGCTGAATAAGGGTTGTCTGGCTAAGAAATGTTACTTGAAGGTCAAATTTCCCTTTTAAAATAAGATCTGTGTCTGAAAGCGCCAAGAGTTTGCAAGGAAACCATTCAGTTGTCTCCAGGGAGTCAAAATATGAAAACAACTGATTCGATAAGATAAAGAACCCTTTTGAGCTGGCATCACCGAGCAACTGTCACCGCCAACTCTGTTTCGTCATCAGTGAAGAACGAGAAGCATTTAAATTCGAAACAAGGAAATGTTAACAATTGATTTACTTGAGAGAATGCAGCAAGCAGGAGATAATTCTCAACGTGTTGCTCTTTCAAGGAAAAGTGTACATAGCATAAAAATTATCAAGTTTCGATGATCTTCTCTTCAATTTCCAAGGGAACATTGCTGACAAGGCACTTAACACTTGGTGCTTCAGAACACTACAATTAATTTACCAACAAAACTATGTAAATTATTTCACAATCTGCGACTTTTACGATTGTTAGTTAATACCACAGGGGAAATCTCGGTTCGAACGATTCATAATCGAACTATCGATCAGAAGTAGCCGACGCCTTGAAGCTACGGCCTAATAAAGTTAATTTCATATCTAGACGTTTGACCTTACAAGAGTTGACGACAAATGACAAAATTTGGACCAAACACGAATTAATATCGTGTACATAAGAAAAACATTCCGATAGGAGCTGCAGTAACTCTTACTTTAAAAAGCTCCACAGCAGTTTACTCGCTCGTTAGGCAGATAAATTTGGGGTACCGCATATGAAACAGCATTCAAATGAAACATGCATACAAATGTTTGTTCAATTATTTAAAGGCGCAATCAGCGAACACGTAACAACATTTTAAACGGCACAGCTTTAAATACCTGTCCGCTCTCGAATGGTTTGCGTGAAGATAGCTGACTCTCGGGTTTCGCTTTGCCTCCGAAGCGACTCGTTCGCCGCCATCTTTGCGAAGTCCTCGTCAAGAGTGGAATTTTGCAGTATCCAAAATTATAGAAACCTGCCTGCAAAGTCTATTGATCAGCGCAGCTCTCTTCACAGGTTACGCGTGGATTCCTCGAATACTAGTAATATGTAAATTTTGCATTTGAAAGGCGCCCTACGAGTTTAGCAAATATGTTTGAATAACAAAAGCGTTAAAACAAAAATAAACAAAAGAAAATCAAAGGCGGGAAACGCGTCACTAAACAAGGACAAATAACAAATTCCCAAACGTCTTGGACACGTCATCTTTGAATGTCATTGAGCAACCTGGAATGCAATCAAAGTCAATTGTGCTGATTAAAACCTGAAATAGAAAGATACTCAAAATGTGACATACTTATGGGCGCGTTGCTTCATTTCGATGTCGAGCATTTAAATTAGGTTAACACTCAAAGTTTGCGTTGTGTGACAAACATCACGCAATCTCACACAGGTTGCATTAAATGACAGTTCGAAACCGACGTTCTCGATGAAAACAAGAAAACACACCGGAGACTTCCTTTACATTTCGCAACAAATGGCCGAAAAATACATTAAAATGATGCCCTTGTTTTTAATTTATCTCCAGTGAAAGCCATGACATAAATGCACTTTATTTTATCCTGTATCCAGTGTTCCTTCCGGACGCGAGAGACTTTCCTTCCTGTTCTTCAGATAATTATTATGGTCAATGATACAGGTTCACACCACTTAATTGTGGACAAGCGATATCGATGAAATATTTCGACTCTGTGCATTTAGTAAATATTAATAAATAAACTTTGACCTCTGGTAAAAACGTACAAGTAAAATATATTAAAGTTCACACGGCAACCAGGTGGACAATCAGACATAGTTTGATGCTACTCTGGTTTGCAGATTGAATGAACAACGTACAAACAAGTCCCCCTCCCACCCTCAATAAAAAACGCATATACACTTTCCCCATTCTCACCCACACCTCTTGGTGACAAGGCTTTTTTGTAACATGCAACTATCTTTAGAACGAGATGCTAAGCTAAATTTCCCGTTAAAAATAACAAAACAAAGAAAAATGAGTCATCACATTTACGAAAAATAATGGGAAATTTTTCAGAAATTCAAAGTTCTTCCTTCTAATTTTTACAAAAGAAAAACTGATCTTGATATAGTCACAAGTTTAAAAGCTAGATATTTCCTATCCGAGGAGAAAAAATATATTTCATATAAGTCTAGATATTTTCGTCTGTTCACAGGCAAGATGCTAACTTTGTTAGGTCTGTTATTCAGAATCCAGGAGTCCATCCCTTTTATTTTTCCACCAAGCGTTACTATTGCGTCATCTGTCTCCAATGTCACTCTGCCAAAACTACGTAGCATTACAATATTTTTTCCTCGTGGACAGTCTCAGATTATCTACGAATTTTTTCAGCCGCTTTCGGACATCGAACAAGTCATCAAGGTAAGAGTGACTTAATCGTATGAAGTATGTTGGAAATATTCAAGAGAGTTAGCCTGAAGAAGTCTGGTCAAAATCTTTGCGCCTCCGGCCTAGCGAGACGCCTTGAAATAGCAATAACATAATTTTTTCAAGGAGCTGCGGGCGAACATCTGAGATTTTCCAACAGAGACAAAATATTGCCAACAAAAACGATATCATAATACGTTTATTATAGAGCTTTCTTTAAAGAAAGAAGTCTGTATTTAATTGAATGTTATTCTTAAGGAATTAAATCACGATTTAACGAGAATCCAGTTTTAAACAACTAAAATTTTGAGACGTGCATTGCACAAGTTCAGTTTTCAGAAGGAATCGCATTGATTAAGCTCTCGTAATGTTTCAGGAGTGAAAATTGGATTTTAACGTGAGAGGAAAGCATACAATTTAGGTCTGAAGACTGAAACTTTTTCACACCGGTCCTATTTCAATAACAGCTCGCCACATCTTAAGTATGTCAGTCTCACTTGAGAGTTAATCTGTTAACATACGTTTTCCTTTGGCTGGTTTGAACCTAATTAAACCCACCAGTTTAGGAAGCCTTTTCGTTTCGGTTTCGGTACAAGATATATTTTTAAAATATATTTTTTTTCAAAGACATTTCATGCAGCGACTGAAAGCACACTTTTCACCTGCTTCTGTTTGTCAAATATAGATAACACTTCATAATTTTTTTGCAAAAAAAAAAACTAAAACCGTGCGTTTTTGCGTGAATTTTCCCAAAATGATTTATCGTAGTATAGGTACTCACTGAACAATGGAGAAGAAAGGTTTTGTACAGAAATTCATTGGTAATGCTAAAGGAAGTCTTATTCATATTCAAAAATTTAAATTTTAACAATTGTTCAGGAAAATAAGTTTCCCCTCATAACAGACACTGAGCAACATGAAACTTTATCCTTGCCAAAGCAGCAAAAATGTTAAAGAGCAGTCACATGTAAATGCAAAGTTTTGCTATACATTGCCACCTTAATCTCGAAGCAATATATGCAGCAGCTGTTGTTAGCTAAAGTTTTCACCTTCTGTGAAGCCAAAGGAGCCATTTGATTCATGTGGATAATTGAATTTTCTCAGAGAGCTTAATTTCCTGTGAGCCTTCAGATGCAATCAATATGTCACTGCACACAAAAGTTATTTTGATTATGTATTTCTACCTTGCAAAATTCTCATGCAAATTTTGCAAGAAGAAATAAGAAAATTAAGTCAAGGTTTTTTTTTTCTCCTTTAAATGGCTTTTGAGATGTGCAAATTAATTGAATGTTTCTGAACATGATGATGCTGTGCATGAACTCCACTGCTAAAGGTAAATTTAAGGCTCTAGAATTGAAATTATCTTTTTTTATTATCCATGGATAAAATTCTGACATGAGCTCACCAAGAGCAGAAGTAATTCAACCATGTCAAGGTGACTCACTTGAAAATTTAAGCTTAATTGCTTTATCTTTCACCTCAATTTTGTCTTTTCCTTCTCAGATTTAATGGATGCATTAGTGATTTTCAAGGTCAAGGGTTTGATCACCCAATTGGGCAGGAAAATATTATTACTACCTTTAGAGAGCAGAAACACAAATAAGTTTGAATATACCTTGGAGTAGTGTTACTCAAAATTTGAATGTGGTTGACATTGTTTTCCACTGAATGCATGTGATGATCTGGTTGCTGCTGTTAATGAGTAACTTCTGCTTACTTATTACATATAAATTTAAGATGACAAAAACTGTACTTAAGCTTGATGTTTCTTTTGTAGCTATCACACCATTTTGATGGGTACAAGACAGATTCTTCTAAACTTGCTTTTACGGATCCAAACCATGGCTTCCATTTTCCAATAAAAAAGAAACAGCACAGATAGGTTTAAAATGGAGGATAAAGAGCAAATCCTTGATGAAGACAATGATACTGTGGAATCAGAACAGGAGCAGAGTGAAAAGCCTGATGGAGGGTGGGGTTGGGTGGTTTGCTGTGGTACCTTCAGTGTCAACTTTATAGTGTTTGGTATTCATAACTCATTTGGTGTTGTGTACGAGTATTTGGTAGATGAACAACACATGGGAGAAGCTGAGACAGGTAAGAACAATAACTAGCTGGTAAACCTGCATGTGAGGTCTGCACTGTAAATTATAGACTGAGTTTTATCCATGTTCATGTTTGTGCCTTAAATCCAAGAGGGGAACACAATGTTGTATAACTTGTAGTACAGATCATAAAGACAAGGTTAGGGAGGTCTTGAATTTCCCTCTTCTCACATAGAGTTGCTTGGAGTGTCGAGTGATGCAGAACAAGTCAGATCCAAATCATTGTCCAGTTTTATTATGATTTTCTTAATCCTTATACTCCAATGAGTGACCAAGACAGATCTTCCCTTACAATATGAATACAAGATCAAGCAGACAATTAATGGTAATATGGAAAATTGTCGTTAAGGGGATTGATTTTTTTTTTTCAATCGCTTTTACCATGATGGCGCAAAACACATAACAGAGCAAGGCTCCAAATTAAGTCAGTGCCCTTATGAGAGGTACTGTGAGAATGAAATGGCCTGCCCAAGAACGCAATGTATTGTCCAAGCCAGGTCTTGAACCCAGGCCTCTCAACCCAGAGTCCAGTTCATTGACCACTGGACCTCCCATAAGGAGGGTTGATCAACTTGAAATCCTCCAGATGAAAGGAAAGTCTTCAATCTATCAATTTTATCAAACTGCATTGTTCACTGTGACAGGATTCATCTCAGTCTATAATTTTTTCTTCCAATGGTCTAATTTGGCATAGTTTTTAACTTACCACATGGGTGTAATATTTTATTGTCAAGTTTCTTAACCCTTTAACTCCCAAGATCTCATTAGTAATTCTCCTTACTGTCTGCTATACAGTTCTAGTGATGTTTGTTTGGAGAATTTGGTCATGGATCAACTTATATTCCCTTAATTTCTATTTTTTCTTTATTCTCATTACTTGTCTGCTTGATATTGTATTGATATTGTAAAGAGAAATTCTGTCTTGGTCACTCATGGGAGTTAGAGGGTTAGCTTAATTTGGGATGAATTTATTAAGTATTTAAACCCTTCATGATTTGCCAGTGTCAATATATTTACCAGATATGGCCATTTAAACATTTAAAAGTAATGTTTCCTTGTTTTGTTTAAATTTAGGTTATAAGAGTAACATTTCTTAGGCCATAGATTGATGGCATGTTAAGTTAACTGCTCTTAAAGCATTACCTGTAGTTTTCCAGTATAACTGATCTTTTCTGCATATAATTTACATAGAAACTGCTCAGGTTGTACATCACTTAGCAGCAGCCATCAGGTAACATTTTAGGACACTTTCATAATAGGTGTATTTATTCATAAATGTAACCGCTGACATGGTAGCATTGCATTTTATGTTCCTTATTTCTCCTTAGCCTGGGTTGGTGCAATGGCCGGTTCCCTCAACTTCTTGTGTGGTCCGCTGTGCAGTATTTTGTGTGATCGCTTTGGATGTCGTCGAGTAGCGTTTGTTGGCGCCCTTCTATCTGTAACTGGACTTTTTCTTACGTCGCTTGTGACTCGCTTGCATTACATGTACCTTACCTATGGACTTCTTTGGGGGGTGGGGTCGAGTTTTTCCTTTGTACCTTCCATCGTGATGTTAGGTGAATACTTTGATAAAAGATTAGCACTAGCAAATGGATTAGGTACCAGCGGAAGTGGAGTGGGTTCATTGGTCGCCTCGCCTGCCATCAATTACTTACTCTGGGTCGTCGGATGGAGTAATTCTCTGCGCATACTCAGTGGAGTCGCAGCGTTTCTTGTTGTGGCGTGCTTTCTCTATAAACCGCTGAAAACAAGACAGCGTGACAGAGCCGTGACAAAACAGTGTAGCCAGTTGTGTGACGTTTCAATTTGGAGGAACCGGGCTTACGTAGCCTGGGTACTAACAGTAGCGTTATTTCAGTTCGGATATCCGGTCCCTTTCGTCCATTTGGTAAGTTAGGAGACCTTCATGTGCTGTTTGTGACGTTGTGCCATGGTGACTATTTGCTAACGTAATAATTCTTTGGCAGTTTGCGCGCAAGGTATAGGAAAACATTGCATGGCACACAGAAAAGAAAAAAAGAAAATCCAAGCGGAAAAAAAAATAATAATAATTATAATTGAACAATTTGAGGGAACCAAAGTTAGGTTGCGCAACGTAGTGTCATCTTCACTGAATATTTCTTCTGCTGTCGACGATTGAGGAAGATTGTAAGCAGCGTTGTGAACATTGTAAAAGTTACCAATGGCGTAGGTCCATTTTCTGCATATAAACCCACACAAAACCCAAATTAAAACTCCTTCAATCGCTCTGACGAAGGGCTAACGCTCAAAACGACAGCCTTTAAAATCTTTACGGTGACCAATTTGCGTTATCAACTCAGTTGATAACACTGAATTACCCTGTTACATTTACTATTTCCTTTGCTCCTGGCGTTCTCTTCTTCATCTGACGCTCAAAAGAAAAAAACAAAACCAGCTGCACTTAAAACATCCTTCTAACGTGGTCTGGAAAAAAGAGTTTTCTTAATAATTGGCACAAATGATTGGGACAAGCTTCAAAATTGCAACACAATGACTGCTTTAATTCTTCGTTCCTTTACTTACTCGTTTATTTTTTTGTTGCAATGCTTATTTGAAGGCTGTCATTCGCGAGTAAATCATATCTTGCCTTATTATTTTTTTTACTTTCAGTTCTCTTTGAATTTTCCAGAAAACATGACAAAAGCATAATTTAATCTTAAAGCGATGTAGCAAATTTGGCATACAAGTTACAGAAATAACGCCAAATCACTAGAAACGTGAATAGAAAATCATTGACAAACACTGTACGACAGCAGCCCATTTGTGGCTCATACTTTGCAAATAATTCTGAGTAAGCGCTCCATTAAAGGTGGATATGGCGCTTGCTGGTCAATATTTTGCTTCAAAGTGCATCACTGTTTGACGGTTGGCACTCTCTCAACCTTACACAGAAGCTTGCTTTAGTCATGTCAATAAGTGTGTGTTGTTTACTAACCTTCCTCTAGGTGAAATACGCCAATGATCTTGGTATCCCGACTTCCAAGGGAGCATGGCTGGTCGGTTTCCTTTCGATCATGTCTACTTTGGGGCGTGTGATATTCGGGAAGATCTGTGAACAACGATGGGTCAACAAAGTTTACGTCTATCAGTTTTCAGTGTTTATCATAGGACTTAGCACGATGATCTGTCCAATCACAGAAGGCTACGCGGGTCTCTTGACTTACTCTCTTGTGTTTGGTTTTTTCGATGGATGCTTTGTAGGGCAAGTGGCTGTAATCACTGGAGAAATTGCTGGAAAGAACAGGCTCTCACAAGCAGTGGGAAATATGTTTGGGGTGTTGGCCATCCCCATGAGTTTTGGACCACCGGTCGCTGGTAAGAAGAGAATTATGTGGCACATTTTGAAAATTTCTGCCTTTTAAGCTTAAAATAAACGAACGGGGGAAAATAAATTATTAAACACTTCTAATTTCTTCAGCTGATTTTTCAAACTTTTGTCGTTCTCTTGCTCTCTATCAAGACAGCATAGTTTATTTTCAAGGGGATAAATAGGTTTTGGGCCCGACTCAAGTCAATTAAGCCCGAGCCGCTAGGCGAAGGTTAAAATGACTTGAAAAAGGGTACAAGACATATTTATGCTCGAGAACATAAATTGTATTACAATTATTATCACTTTGAGAGGGCATCGAGAAAATAAAAACAGAAGAAAAAAAATGACCAAACGAAAAACAGCCTAAATGATCACGCGAGCGTACGAGGGGGCTAACATACAATTCAACCTTTTAATCTCCATTTCGGCCCACAAAGTGCGCCACAGCGCTTAACAAAGTGATGATGATAGAAAAAAATATGCATTTTTTTCTTTCCAAAGGACCCAAACATGTAAGATATATGTAAGAATCTGGGCCTATATTTTTTCCTCTACATACAGGCTGGCTTTACGAAGCTACAGGTTCTTACCACCAGGCATTCTTTGTGTGTGGAAGTGTGGGCATCATGGCTTCTCTGTTTGTCTTTGTCGTGTCTCGTTTGCATCGAAATCAAAGACAATATTACATCTCCAGCAGGAGAGGAAGCAAAAATACGGACTCAAATAAAGACTGTAGGTATGGAGGGAGTTTGGAAACTGAAAGTGAAATGTCTAACATGATAAGGGGAGAGACGACATCTCGTGAAGTCCTCATCGTCGCAGATAAAGAAACTGTTCTGTAGTTGCTTGTTTTGTGCGTCACGCAACTTCTTGAGTACGTTGCGTGACCATGTTGTAGGTTTGGTTTTTTTTTTTTTTTTTAATGACTACAGCGCGTTTCGATCGTGTGTCGTTAAACGAAAACCAAAGTTATCACAACAGCCAATTAGAAAAAAAGGAAAATATCTCAAGGAGCCAATGAGGACATAGAATATCATGAGCAAACTGCTTGAAGCGCGGGAAAACAGGCATTTTTTAAATTCATTTTGCCGGTGTAATGTTGTAGAAGTTTTCTTCTCCTTCTTCCCACGTGAAATTGGTATAACTTTCCTCAAAGAAAATAAGTTTACCCGAACTTAAAGCAGTGGTGTATAGATATATATGACCTTCAGGCTAATGAGGAAATTTGGATTCTGAGCATTTTCTTAAGGTGTTATTTAACTTTTCCTACGTGTGACGTGGATCGTGGATCATATCACCACGTAAGATCTTTGCTGTGAAATTATATATATACATATATATATATGGGTTGGGTTTGTGTGTGTGTGTATATATATTTTTAATTGGAATTAATGTGAGTGATTACGCATTTTTAAGGGAGCCTTCGGTAGCTTCCTTTTCTGATCGTTGTTTTTTTGTTTTGTTTTTTCGCGTCGTCAAATTTAAGCGTGGGTTTTATTTATGTTGAGTGCACACTTTCTCTGAAGATATTTAACGCGGAAAAGCCTGTTTTACTATGGGTTACTTGTGCAAACATTTCTGGAAATTTTTTAAGTACTTTGGAGAAATGCTTGATAAACTCTTGCGAGAGGAACAGAACTAGGAAATTATAACGAAATAATTATTTATGCAGACATTATTTACATTTCTATCTACAAGTCGCTTATTTAAATAAACGCCAGTGTTCTATGTGTTTCTCAAGCAAAGGGTTGTGGAAATATTTTACTTACTGTGAGAGAATGTTTTTTATTTTAAATTATTTCAAAATTAATATAAAAATTTCGGCAGAGCGTAAATACGAAATTATACTTTACGAGAAAAATTTGTTTTCTTGAAATGTTATTCACATTTCTAGCCACAGGTCGCGTATCTATTTGCACTTCGATTGTATTTAAATGTGAGAAAAAAAAGGGTGTACTTCAGATAATTTATTTTTGGAAGAGGCTATTTATTGCTATCAAGCAATCATTATTTAATTAGACTGATATGAAATAAAGCTTCAGTTCTATGCAGGGAATTGTTTATTGCCAGATCTTGTTGTATTGTTGTTGTTGTTGTTGCTGTTTTTTGTTTGTTTGTCTGTTTCTTCTGTTTTTGATCAGTGAGAGATAGAGAGCAGGGAAGGGGATGAAGAGGCCCGCGGTCAGTTACTGTATGCGGTAGAATCTGGGTACGAGATTAAGGGGCCGTGTCTGCGTTTGAAGTAGAAATAACTACTTGCGAGGAGGAATCTTGTATTTTAGCAAGTGACCAAAGTAAAGCGAAAGCTCGCACCCATTCACCCTTGGATAGTGCTGACAAGGTTATGTAATTAAGGCCCAGTTCAGACGTAGTACCTCTGTTAGCCGACCGAAGTTACTGCAATTACGTTCGACTTAAACACAGCAGAAACACGACTCTGATTAAGACATCGGGCTAAAGTCGTACGGAATTCAGCTTTTAATGAAGCAAAATAACAATTTAGTATTGTTAACTTCCCGCAAGAACGCAATCCCGCCAAAATACATCAGCATAATTTGTGAATATTTTTTAGCTCGGCGGAGGCACGGCTTGAACCGCGCCAGAGTCATTTAGCAGGGCAGGGCTTATAGCACCTAATTTCTTGTCGAACTTGTTAAAAAAATTTACTTCAGACACCTTGCTTCTGTCGTGCTCTACTCGAACTTAGTTTCTGAATTGACTTCGACACAGCAGGAGCACGAAATCTGAACTGGGCCTAATTCAAGGGACGGTTTTCAGTCCCACTGTCATTTTCAAAGCAAGGTATAGCAGTCTATGTCAGTGTTCATAATCCATCAAATAATTTTTCCTTGACACGATGAGTCTAAACGCATCGCGTGATCTAATATACCCTAGGAAGAGATTATAATCTCTTACCATCAATTAAAACTGGAGACTATCCCCGTGATAAACCTCAAATATTATTCTCCGATTTTCGAACATTTCGTCTACCATAACGAAAGTGTTGTTTTAAATTCAATTCAAGATGATAGATCATTAATCCATTGCTGCAGAATAAGGGACGCCAGACTGGAGAAAACTGAAAAATAAACATCCACGCAGCAAAATGAAAGCTGTTCGTAAACATTTTGCCTGCGCGTTGAAAGATAATAAATATTATAGCCTCGAGTTGGCGCGAGAATAATCATGCATATTTTTCATTGGACATGATCTGTTCTTCAACCTCACAGATTTCCAAGAGCTTCGCTCTCTGAAAACTTTTCGCATCTTGGACAGGTAACATCCGCGTAACTATATGAGTACCCATATGAGGACTATCGTTTATATATCATATGTCATACTGGCGTGCGTGCTTTAGAGTTTAGTAGCAGCGGCGGGGCACAGTGATATTGACAGAGGACAAGGTTAACAGCTACATTCTTTACGAGACTATCATCTGTATCATGGATATTTCACTAAGAATTAAAAAACATCACGTGACTTGACAAGGTCAAGGAACACGGAGTTAAGTATTGACCGATCACTTAGGCGTAAATGCATGTTACAAAACGTAGGTAAAAGAGAATCTGCGCTTACAGACCAGCAATTCTTTATCGCCCTTTATACATTGTGTACGCTGTTGCCGATGACTGACCCC